TTTTTGGCTATTTGATTTTTTAAATATAAAACATGAAGCTTTTGACAGAAAATATAAAATCACTGTGTCAAGAAGTTAAGGCATTTGCCTAATAGCATAAGATCAATAGGGAAAAAAGAAGATATGCATAAATTGTATATATAATTAAAATGTATAGATTTATTAGGTATATAAATTGAAATTTAATTACTTAAACAAAAGCAACCTCTAAGCCCTAACAAGACTAAAATTTATAGCATGAGCAGAGCTCAAACATGTGTCAGAAATGAATAGGGTAAAGGATCTGGACAACAAAATATCCAGATTGGGCTTAAAATCACTTCTAAAACTTGTCCGTAGGAAATCTGGGACTTTGATGCAGCTAGCGCCAGCTGTCTTTCAGATTGTTAACCGAGTGTTAGCCAAAATTTTGTTATCCGTAAACCTTGAAGAAGACGAGATAAAGCATGTTTTAGATTTGACGCCACAAATGCTCTCAACCACGTAATACGGCGCATAGCTGCCATAAAAGAAATGATACCAAGTCACAAAGTGGCTTGGATAGAACAGAATGAGTGACGAGCGTGGGAGGAGATTGTAAAGTTGTTGCTTAAAATCGGAAATGCAAAATAGCGAGCCGAAATTGGAAATCACTTGCCGAGAAAAAACCAAAAGGTCAAAGAGCAGTAAGTCAGTTCGTCATAGCTTCCTGATACTCGTAAACCGTACCTATTATAATTATTAATTTTGCTACATTACGCACGCAGCCATAGACCACAACATCTTTTGACACAAAGACCGTGCGAAAAAATGACAAATCATCACTCTTTATTTTACGTCAACTAATAAAATTTTAGCATCGCACCGTGCTTACCTTCTGAAACAACCATAATTACGAATTAAGGATATCCACAAGTGATCTTTGTGTAAAGTTGGTGCTGCTAGATTACGGTGTATGCAATTTAGCAAAGCTAATTTATGTATTGAGGAAATATTAGGCGAACCACAGCACTTCCACATCATCACACGTCAATAAGGCGAGTAAAGTTCACACACATCAATTGTCAGATTTCATGTGTGTGGTACTACTTCTCTGACTATATTTCTTTTCCAGTTTTCTTTTCACTCGTTCCAAGTGTAATTTAAAGCATCATCGTTTGAGTTCAATCTACTAAACACATCCTTTGGACTGTATGTGGGTCTGGATTTTTGTTGTTGCAATTATCGTGAATCCTATGGTCGAAGTCTTGCTTGTTTCTCTATCATTGACGTATATTTCGTCTCTATCCTTGCTTACGCGAAAACCAATCATACCGCATCTATTTCTGCTTACATAAAGTATTATTTTCGGCTTTATTCGGACGTAAATGATGAAATTTATGAAGTACACGCATGGGATAATTATTAGCCCCCCCCCATGAATAAATGTAGCCTCAGAAACTGGCATAGCTCATCGTACCAGCCACAGTTAACGTTATCACTATCCGGATGTTGCCCTAATTACTATAACCATAGCACCTGGCAAAGATTACGCAGCATACTCTATAATAAGCCTACTAATCCGTTTTTATGTGAGCCATATATATTCTATAGGTTCCTTCTAAGATAAGTAAATATAATATTAAAATACTACTAACTAGAATAATTGAACTATTCATTATATATTTTTTATTAAGTACATTGTCGTGACTAAAATTCATATATCCACTATTTCTTAAATGGGCTTGGTCCCTTTGAAATCTGAGCAAAATAATTCTGTAACCGGTTATTAGAAAGAGTTTTATTTAAAGGAGTTCTGTTTAGCCCTATTCACAGTCCGTTGAAAATGGCTTAGTCTCTTAGTGTAATGAGATACGAATATTAGTCTCTTAGACCAGAACATGAAAGTATTCCTTATTATTACTTATTTCAATTCTTTATTATAACTACTTCTCTTAAATTATTTTCCTTCATATTACCAGTAGAGCATGTGGCTAACTAGCGTGCTTCATACATAATTTTTTCTTCAAATCTCATTTATAAACCCCTTCTGCATAATATTTATGTTTAGTTTGGTTAGGTGATTTGTATGATTATTTTTTTCGTTTTAAATAAGTTTCCAGGACTATCAGTAAATCAAATATATGAACAATGTTAAAAGAAAAAGAAAGCATGCAAATTTTAAACAGGTTTTGAAATAGTCCTATTTATAAGTGATTAACATGGCTAGGGATGAGTAATTAAGAAAATAGCACTAAGTCGTTTTTGAAGTGTAGATAAGGGATCTTTATTTTATTTGTCATGATGTTTATCACTAAATTGGTTAAAAGAGGTAAATAGGAGTCATGTAGTATCAAAAACGCTTGCCTAGAAAGAGGTCAATTTAATGTGAAATAAGTTGTTTTGTTCGTCAAGCTGACTGCCCACATTGTGAACAACATAATTGCATTTCTTCCAACATTCTAGGCATAAATATGAAGGCCTTTACCCAAGAATTCCATGTAGAATGATTGTTTATCAGGGCGGGAAGTATATGTTTTATATTTAAATCGAGTGGTAGTGGGTGACCCTAAATATAAGTATTTGATAATAAATAAAAACATAGATAATACATAAGTTACTACATGCACGCCAATCAAAAAGTTATATTTTATGCTAAGTTTATTAATTTTAGTTTTTTACGAAACGTTTGTGCCTTTACCAATTCGAAATATCCCCAAAAATTACCATCCAAAGAAATTAGGGATATCTTAAGAGCATTCTAGCACTGGCCAGGTTAATTAAGATGAATCTATCGAAGTATCTAGCAAGAATACACATTAATAGTGAACGTTTTACATCTGAAATTGTGTGTTATCAAATAAATTAGGCAAAAATTTTAGGTAATGTAATATTTAACATCTCATATTATTTTGTAATATTTTGTTCATCGTATCTATCTTTAATTTGTCATCGGACTGCCTATGGCAGACATCATTAAAAATATATGCCTAAAAAATAAGCTATATGTGCGAAAATCTAAAAGGAATTTAAACTAATGTCAACAATATGCTTTTCTTGAATAAATGATAAATATCGTACAATCAATATTAATTTTATTAATCAAAATGATAAAATTGTGCGTAATTTCAGAGATTAAACAGGCAAGAAAGCTATGTTTACAACTAATACTAAGAAAATAATACTGAAAGTAAATCATATATTGAAAAAGAACATAATTTTTAAAAAATTACCTTTGCAGTGAATTGCTATCGCGCCTTTTGTTGCCTCACAAATTTCGAGAAAACGTTCCATTATATTATCCGGTGGCACACTGCCGTCAATAAAAAACAAATCACAATGCTCGAAACCAGCATCCGTGAATCGTTTTGAATCGTAAATCCTTTTGTTCAATCTAATTACGGTTGTTACATTGGCCTTACAAAAGAAATTAAAGTAAGACTCGGGTGAATGGAAAGGATAGCCTGAAATAAATAGAAATGGATATAAAATATGGTGTAGTTAATATTAAGTAGGATTGAAAGATAATTATATAAGAAATTTTTGATAAAATTTAGTAATAAAATAAATAATAACAAACTTGCCATTTTCAAGTCGCGTCTGTGAATGTGGGCCACAAAATGCCAAAATCTTTGAAGGTATAATCCAACTTAGATCTCCATTTTCAACTTTCTAAATGACCCAAATTAATTAATAAGTAATAATCTCACTTCATAATATTCGTATTCAAGCAAATCGAAAGTGTCAAAACAAAATATTCCCGCTTTGAGAGCCTATACAAAAACGAAGGAGATGAAGTATGATTCAATATTCGAAACATAAAAAAGATTTAAATGTACCTTTTTAAATCCATGCAAACAATTTAATAAAGAAAGGTGGTAGCAAGAAGGGCCCAGTGAAGCATCCCTAAAAATAAAGTTTAAATAATAGTTTAAATACAATTCACGCGTAGTAAATTAAGAATTTTAAAATTCTAATTTATTAAAAGAAAAATTTAATCCTGATAATGGGGTACGCTACATATATGCCGGATATTGATAAGCTAAACATTACCTAAAGGGAATAAACGGCCCTACGTTGCCGGAAGTAATGTATTCATATGCATCATCTGGAGACCGATTCAAGAAAATTATCTATCTGAAATGTGTCAGTTTTGTAAGAAAACAAAGGCAATATAATTTAACATACTTGATAACAACCCATCAAAAAAGCAGAATTCGTTTTCTTTTTAGCATCTGTACTGGTACAGTGAACTATCTTCTTTTTACTAAGCACAACAGATTTTAATTTTCTATTTAGCCTGCAACAATAACGATAAATTTGTGCTAAGTTAAGTGGTCCGAAATCAGAGTAAAAACTAAAATATGAGAGGTAAAATTAAGACTGTACTTTTCGTAAACCAATTCATTATCTATAGAGAAAAAATGAAGAGAGTTGGTCGATTTTGGAATACTATTAATTGAAAAAAAATAAAGTCTATCTGAAAGAGATGTAAAAGGTTAGAAGCTGTTACCAAAGATAATAACAGCTGAATCTGCCAGAATGCTTTCTATCCCACACTTAGACTTTTCTGTTTCCAAATCTCTTAAAACCATAGGATCACATATAAAGTAGCCGGCCTATTTAAGATGTCTAAATAAAGTATCAAAATAATAACAAACACACTCTAGAGCAAACATTAAATTAGGGTGCCTAAATTTGACGCCATTCCCCGAAGAAAAGTGATCAAATCGATGGATCAGTGCTAGTTACCAATATTGGTTTATACAAACAAATCATGTAAATTAAAAACATT